GTAGTGGTAGTGGTAGTGGTAGTGGTAGTGGTAGTGGTAGTGGTAGTGGTAGTGGTAGTGGTAGTGGTAGTGGTAGTGGTAGTGGTAGTAGTAGTAGTAGTAGTAGTGGTAGTGGTAGGGGTAGCGGTAGGGGTAGTGGTAGTCGTAGTAGTAGTAGTAGTAGTGGTAGTGGTGGTGGTAGTAGTAGTAGTAAATGCAGGGACATCAGGACCACGAAAGACAAAAAAGGACACGAGGGACGTCAGGGACGTGAGGGGGGACGTGAGGGACGCGAGGGACGTCAGGGACGGGACGTGAGGGACGTCAGGCCTCATGTCCTGCAGTGTGGGTGTGGCAATTGTGGAGCTATGGCATCAGAGGCCACAGGATGTGTGAAAACAGGATCCACAGGAGCCACAGCAAGGAGCAGTTTCAGAACCACATGCACGTTACTGGCGATCCTGACTTGGAATGATCGCTAAAAGCGTTGTGCTGTTGGAATCCTCCAGTGTGTCCGTCCCAAAACATCACCAGCCACGGAAAGTTCACAAATGCGGTGGGGCAACCAATTTTCTTTACAACGCAAACTCCAGCCTCTCAACTGTCAACATAACACAAAACCCTCCAGTGCTCTGAATCTCATGGAGGGACAAACCTTGCTTCGTGTCATCCCGATCCCAACGGCAAACAGTGAGAAATCACACACACAGCGACCCAACGGCAAATTGCACCGCAGCGACCTTGTTCTCATGGCTCATTTTAGCCACCTGTCGGATCAGCAGATCAGCACGAGAAAAAAAGTCAGGGCGTCGACAGTTTCTCGCAAGAAGACTGCCCTCCCAACAGCTTCTTGGGTGGCCAGAAAAAAACCTTGGATGCCGGACAGCATCCACTCCATTCCCACCAGAGAAAAACGTGGTTTTGCCGGGGCGCGCCGGTGCCTTCATGTCCTCTTCTTCTGGGACCGAGGGGACCCCTTCCTCCGCGCACCCCCTCCGGAAGACGGTTCCCGCCATCCCCTCGGATCTGAGACCGATCGACGTGGATCGCTTCGGTTTGGCAACGGCCGTGGCCAGACACCAAAAAAACATTGAATTTCAACAACCGTGTCTTTTCAGATCAGCCCACCCAGAAACTGCATGGTGAAGACTCATCATGACCGTTTCAGGGTCCATCAACCACCCAAAATTGGATCCGATCCTGGGTGCTTTTTGAGCCTCCGAATGGCATCGGCGAACCCCGAAGCTGCAGCCTAGCGAAGTTGCGACCTGAAACGGAATTCTGGTCCTTTTTGGGGGGATGCCAAGAACTGTTCAACCCGGGCACCGCAACTCCATCACTGTGGCAATAGTCAAAAGAACTAGGCAACCAGGGGCTGAACTGCACAACCCATCGTCAAACGTCCAACTCGTGCATGAGCTGCGCGGCGGCCCAACACCCCCCACGCGCCTGTAGACTCTTTGCTGGGCCATGAAGCTGCATGCAGCCCTCAACAAATTCATCTAAATCCAACAAACCTGGGCCAACAGCACCAGGCTTTGGAGCGTCAGACTGAGGAATGTGCATTGTTTCCTTGACTCGGCTAACACAAGAAAACAAGAGGCTATTCTCCTGCATAGGAACAAATACTCGAAAACCACACCTCGATTTTCTGGGGATGTCAGCGCCTTTATATACCGTCTTGGCCACGTTCATGCCGTTCCGGGTGTTGTTTCCAAGTTACTTCAATCAAAAGGAGGTGAAAGGCTCAAGGTGCATCATCTAAAGCTTGCGCATCTTCCCCGTGGGGTGCGATTTAGAGAAACAAAGCGAGACAGTGATAAGACGTTGTCACCCGGGGAACTCCAGTGCCACAGAAGGCATGCCTTTGCTACTTTACCCACTTCTCAGTCACTGCTCCTCTTGGGAGTAACAATGAAGTTAGTCATTGCTAAGCATTGGCGGTGTAGGCATCTCACAACAAGGTTGTGCGTTGTCATTGGCTCTATAAGAGGCTCAGAATGATACTGACAGCTTTGGAGTCGGACTCCACTCAAGAAAAATATGTTGAACCACTTTCTTTGTGTTTGTGTGTGTGTATGTGTCTCACTCACATGTGCACATATGTGTATATATATATACACATATGTTTTTGTAGTATTTGCATTAAATCCATGTGTGGTTTCTTTCAAGCCCCGACAAGTCCAAAGACCATTCAATCAAACGGAACCCAGTAACTCGTCTTTTACATCCTTAAGGTGTCTGGGTCATGACCGCGTCCGGTACAATGAGGTCATTGACCTGTAGGGAACCCAGTCCTAGCCTATAGGGCTCCAGTCTTAGCTCCATTTCGGTTCGGTGGCTTGGGGTGGATGGGTGAGCTTGGAGTGTCTGACTACCTTCTAGGGATGGGGTTGGAGGTGTAGGGCACATGTAATTCAATGGGCTTCGACTTGCAGACTTCCCAGCACCGCCGCTGCAATGAAATGCCCAAGAAGGGGGGTCACAGATGCATCCCAGAGCATCAGGCAGGAAGACAATTTCCGCAGAAACAGTTCTGTTGCCTTGAGTGATTTCTCAACTCTCCCCCACTGCCCCCACTTCGTCTTTTCACAGAACTCC